GAAAGAAGGAAAACAGAAAGAAAAAAGAAAGAAGGAAAGATAAAGATATGAAGATTTTTTTGGATTTGTTTACAGAAGGGCAAAAGAAATAACCTGAAATAACATCACATGGTTCTTGAAGCCAACGGCATATTGCTCTACTGTCACCATTATCTTCCCACCATCTCTTGCCTAACTTTGCTTTTACCTGCCTCTTACTGACCTCATCAATTTTAGCTATTTCCCTCTCTTGCCCTTGAGAAAACTGCTGTATCTCTCTAAGATTTAAAAATGGCACTTGAATAAATAAGAATATTTCCTGCCTCCCAGAGCTATTACATGATTAAATGACAATCAGTGTATGTGAGGTACTTAGTGTGATGTAAGTTTACAGTGTTTAAGTTAAGGGAATGATGAATAAAGTACCACTTTGGGGATTGAGCTTTATTGACTGCATTTTTTGATTCTTCAGTGATAATGATTTGCTTCATATGTTGTTTCACAAGTGCTGTTGGAGAAATACATTGGGTAAAATATATGATCAGATCCCTCAGATATATATTTGTATACTATAACTTAGTTTCCTACAATTGCCATGACAAATTTAGTGTTGTCCACTGTTATTACAACATAAACTAGATAAATTTTGATCATATTTCTGTATACATATAGTTCCAAATGATATAAGTATGTATGCATATGTTTATATTTATATCTGCAACACATAGTCTAAAAGTAAGTCCCACATTTCACCAGCTTACTCTCAAAATGAGATTCATTATCATTTGGCACATAAATATCTTTTAAAAATTATATATATATTATATATGTACACATGTATATATTTGTTTGGATTCAAAGTACTAACAGTTTTCTAAAGAAAATACAAACATGGCTAATTAGAAATAAAGATACATTGTGCATAGCATTTATTTTATAATTTTCTATTCAGTAACTAAATTCAACATTATTGAATCCTAATACCAGTGGAAAATGTCCTTATGCATTTTCTCAATCTTATAAAATGATATACATTTCTAATTTTTTTCTATTTCAATATATAGTTTTAAAACAAAAGAAAAATGATTTACTAAAAATGTTGAGGTATTGTTCTATTAATTTTATTCTGATAAATTATAGAAAGGGAAATTTTCTTTGACTTGCTACATAACTGGAATATACATATTCATTTTTAGCTTTAAAATAGTCATCAGGTGGAGGTATTCAATCCACATATTTACCAACTGTTTAACACTTGCCAAATACTGATTTAGGTATGGGGCAAGATAAATAGCACCCTGCATCCCAAAGGAAGGAAAAATCCAATAAACGAATATGTAAATTATACATGTTCACAAACATTAATGACTTTTGTTGATGAAGGTAAATCGCAGAAAAAGAAGAGACAGAAAGTTTATGGCTGATCGATTTTCAATAATAGTTTGGGAAGTCCTCACCAGTGAAGTAGCACAGGACTCTAATGAAGATGGGAGAGGGTGACAAAATGATGACTAAGAATTCCTCGGCAACTAAGAGTGAATGATACAAACAAAAATTAAGCCTATAATGTAATCTCTAACGTCTCAAGGAAGAAAAGTTAGGTCTGAAGGATCTAGGAGAAGCTGATGATGAGTGGATGGTTATCTAGTGAGGTGGTGGTAGGTAGACACTTGGGCTTGGAACAAGTCATGGTCCCTGTGCATTCTGCTTTAATATCTCTCTCTCTCTCTCTCTCTCTCTCTCTCTCTCTCTCTCTCTCTCACACACACACACACACACACACACACACAATGTCTTAGTTTAGTCTCACTTCTATACAAATTTGTTTGAAAGTTAGGTTTTACCATAACAATATCTGCTTCTTAAATACCAAAGTTACACATTATTTTTTTTTAAGGAATAAAACACACAGGGATGGGAAAAATTGGGAGTTTACTCAGATTAGAGGTGGAGGGTATTAGTCCTTCTCAAAGAAGTTGAACCCACTGTGTTCTTTAAAAAAAAAAAAGCTTAAATTGCATGAAAGGCATACTGCTATAATAACATTAAAATTTAATTCATAATTATTTATAAATTCCCACACTGATGCATAAAAACCTGTGGAATTACATTTTCAGAGGTACAATTAGAGAAACATAGAGGTATCATTCTACCTGTCATTTGTCTACTAATGATTTAATTAAATAGTATGTACTATGCTCATTTTGCCAAGAATAACGGGAAGAGGAGAGCACAGTTCTGAACTCAAGGCAGACAAACAGCACAGAATAAATACTCACTGGATATGCAACCTCGTGAACCAATATCTTGTATTAGTAATGCGTTATGAGAGCATTCAAAATGAGTAATTTCCTTTAACTTTGGATTGGGATAAAACTGATTATTATTTCATGAGGTAGGTGACAAGAAAAAATTCTGTAGAGTGGACCCCCAAACTTTGCTCTCCTACAGCACCTGCAAATTGTAAAAAATCACAAACTTCAAATATGATTAGAAAAATGCCTATTTTTATAGTTTAAACTCTAAATATGCTGTTTCCTGAAGTTATGTAATTAAATTTTTAAAAGTACTGTATTAATAAAGCCTTAGAAGGTGCAGGGCACTTTGGTGGCATCTTAGGGATCTTGGGGCTTTAACTAGGACAAAACAGAGAACACTCAAGGTAGCGACATGGCACAGAAACCTGTTATGTAGAAATGCTGGTGCCTCTGCCAATGTGTTACAGGGTAGTAGCCAACAGCAGCAAGGAGAACTGAATAATGCTTTTAGATTGGCTACTTGCAAACCTCTTTCAAAAAAAAGCAATTACGCAGGATATTTGTGGTTCCACAAAATTGCGAGGATTTCCAACAATTATTAGTTAGATTCTAAAGAAAAATATGCAAATGACTTAGGCCATGAAGTCTGAACCATGACTTCACAGGAGTGTATTGTACTTTCACACAATTGCGTTTTTACAGTGACTTATGTTATTGCAGTATACCTTCACATTTTACTTAATTTTTCTTTTTGTGGTTATCAAACTTATACTTCATATTATGGCTAGCTAATTAATACATCTAATAAATATATAGATCCAGAAAACTAATAATCTAAGATTAATAATCTAATAATCCCTTCTCTGAAATGAAAGTACATAAGGATCTTCTTCATAAGATTGTTTTGAAAATTAAATACAATCATTTGTTTAAGAACCTATCCTACTGTCACATAAAACCCCAATAAATTTTAAGCATTGTATATAATATTTGTGAAAAAAATTTTTAAAAAAGGCAATGTAAATGTTAATATTATGTATCAATTGTTATGAAGAAAATTAGTATTCATTCATTTCAATCTCTTTTAAACATAAGTAGCATAAGAAATTTTACAAGTGGATAACATTTTCTTCTATAATCAGCATATCATTTCTTGTACTGTTCATAAAAATAAAATGTATTATTAACTTTAATTAAACTTAATAAGAATGTTTCCTATATATATTTTTGAAAATCATGGTCTATTATCAAAATGAAAGCACTAGTTTGATTTACTATAAGGTCTTATATTATTTATAATGTGACTAAATATCTATTTTAACTTGAAAATGTTTAGCATGAAATATTTGCCCAACCCATAATTTTGTTTATTTTCAAATAACTTAAAATCATGTTTTTGATGAAGTAAAACATCTAATAATTTGTATGAACTCCAATTTTTGGCTAATGCACATAAAAAGAAAGTGATATATATATATAGAAGTTTTATCTTAGTGGAAAATTACAGAATATAATACTTATTTTAAGTTTGAAATATCCTAAATTTAAACTTAATATGTAAATAATACAAGTTATCTGATTGGTGAGGTCTTAACCTATTTATTTTATAAGCCTATTTTTAACACTCCATCAAAACCTTAAGGATATATTTTAAGTGGCCCATTTTTATTCTTCCTTAATAAGTATTTAATTCCAAAAATGGTTGTAGTGGGTTGATAACTGGTGGTCAACTTATAACCCCCAGCTGAACTGAGTAAGCATGGTGACAGGTGTGGGAGCCCCACCTGAGGATTTGTTGCCAGCAGCATAAGAGGCAGACCTGGAGAAGAAAAAAAGCTGCTGGGAGCTGGTGAAAGCTGTAAGGAGCTGTTGGTTGTTTTAGAAGAGCTCGTCATGCTGGCTTTCCTGATGAACTTGGCTGTTTTCATCCTCTGAGGAGCTCACGACCTCGTTGGCACTGAGAATAGCTTCGGTTCACTTTGGGAGAGCTCTGCTCTTCACTCTAAGCACTGCTTCCTGGCTCCAGAGGGGAAGATGGTGCACTGCTGGTCTCCTCCAGAAGCCTGCTGTGTTGGCTTCCCCGATGGGAACTCGGCCATCTTGATCATCAGAGGAGATCGGGACTCACTGTTGCTGAGGATGCCTGTGGTACCTTTCCGGGGAGCTCTGGTTCTTCTCAGCGTTGCTTCTGGGCTCCAGTGTGTCGCTTCTTGGCTCCAGTGCACATCCCTCAGCCTGCTAGCACAGATCCTTTATCCCACTAGCACAGACTTCCTAGATTCCACCACTAACCTTTGGGCCTTCCCAGCGCAGATCCATGAAACAGGCCTGCATGAGATATTGTTGTGGGCTCTGGGCTTCCAGTTGAACTTGTGGGAAGCATTGTTATGGCTCTAGGTTTTAAGTTGGACTCAGGCAGGACATTATCACAGGACCCGGGCCCTCAGCTGGATTCTTGGTCTATGTTGTGTGGACAGATTTCCTATACTCTTTTGTATATCGTTCTTTGGGTGACTATTATGATTACATAAAATGTGTCCTGTATTATATATTGCGTTCCCCTTGCAAAAATATCCCCCAAACCATGACAATGGTAAATTTACAAATTTTCTGATATTATTTGTTTTAAAATGTGATCTTTTTACAAAATGGAAATTACTGAAAACCTAAAATAAGTCCTTTTAAGTCAATAATAACCTGACAACTAATAGCTTAAGTCCTAATTGGCAGAGACTACAGACAGATTCAGAATGTGGACTGTACCTTATGTCGCAGTCTTGTTAGAGGTTGATAGAATTTAAGGCCATGTGCTGCTTCTTTCATTGGCCTTCCTTCTGATTCCAGGAGAATAAACCCAAGAACCAAAACGGCTGACCAACTCTGAAACATCTTTATTGATTTTCACCTGTCAAAATTAAAATGATAAGTAATCAGAAAAATGCATCATATACTGAAGAAATATATTAAAATATTCAAACATATAAATCTCTATAGATCTAGTTAAAAATCTGCTGGTACTTGCCAGCTGAATATATAAGTAATTATCTCCAAATAAAGAGTACCCCTTTGACCATAACAAAATGACCAAAGAGATACTATTTATTTTTAGTCAGACAGGCTTAAAAAGTATAAAGTAAGAAGAAATATAGGCTTCATAACAATGCACTAGGGAAAAATAAATGAAAGATAGATGATAAGAAAGGGAAAATATATTAAACTACAGTCGTTTTTGAGATGCACCTGTATAATACAATTATTAATGTTTACAAACCTCCATTTCCCCTTGCAATGTGTTTGATGAGCAAGTTACAGAACAATTGTATCCATTAGAATGAACTGGTACAGGTTCACAGGAGCTTAACAAGACAGTCTTTTGTGGTAGGTGCTTAATAAGCAAACTGAGTAAAACAGATGCTACGCGGATGGATTAAAAATAGTTTTTAATGAATTGTTCAGAGTAGTACGTAAAGGGTTCTTTTCAAAATATTGCCATACAAGTGCTTTAAACTACTAAAAACCCTATCATTTCCACTGCTCTGTTTTAGAAGTTATACTTCTTAATCTTGTTATTGTCTACACAGGGTCTGGGGATATAGTTCGGCGACACAAGGACCTGCTAGCAAATGCAAGGTCCTGAGTTAAGTTCCCAGTACAAAAAAAAAAAAAAAAAAAAAATAGTGTACACAATAAGAACTTCTCAAAACATACAACTTTAAGCTTTGAGTGCAAGTATATTCCACTTTATCACATTCACCAACACAGCTTCTTCTGTACAAAAATAGTACATGTTCTTCTTCCTAAGCCAATTTGTATGTCAGACTTCTAACAAATCAATTAACCTTGTTCTTCTTATTTATTTTTATTAATATACGTTTGCTGGACTTTCATGGAGTTCACACTCAAGTTGGGGAGTTGGTACATGTAGGTCTAGGTACCACAACACAGTGTGTTTCTTTAATTTAATCCCATTTCCACCCATTGCCTCCCCTTTCCTCATTTTCATTATTATTATTCTTAGCTCATATTTATGACATATAACGTTTACAGTGGTTGCAGTTATTAGGTTCCTCCTGTACAAGGCATATATTAATTATTCTTACTTTCCCTTCTTCTCTTCCCTCTCCCTTTACTGATCTGGACCCCTTCCCATTTGCACAAGATCTACCCCCTTGCTTCCTTCTATTGAGCCTTTATTATTCTTTTGATACTTTGCGTTACTCAAATGAGATACTATACAGTATTTAAGCTTGTGTATTTGATTTATTTCACTCAACCTTGTATTTTCCGGGTGCATCCATTTCCTTAAAATATGCCAAATGTACCCTGTTTTATAGCGAAGTAGACTTCATTATATACAAATAAGCTATTTTCTTTGTCCAGTCATATTTTGTTAGATATACAAGCTTTGTACAGGATTATAGCTATTATGAATTTTGCTGCTATAAACATTCATATGCATGTATGATAATATATGTTTAGCTTTTGAGGGAAGAAATGTAGAGGGTGAACAGCTGGGTCAAATGCAATTTCTACTTGTAGTTTTCTGAGAAATCTCCATACTGAACATATTTTCAAATATTTATCTGCTGTTTCTGCTTCACTTCAGAAATGTCTATTCATTTTAGATTCCCATTTTTGGA